CATGAGGAGGTTTTTCCTTATAAAGTGGCTTCTCATTTCCAGCCTCATATACCTATACCTGTGTTTGATTTGTCCTCTGAAGAAGTTCCATCTGTGCTTGCTGATCTTGACAACCAAAATGATTCTCAACTTTTGTCTAATGGTTCTACTAATATTAACCAACCTACGGCTGCTTATCATCTCAGTCAGGAAAAGACAGGGCAATCAAATGATCATCAGACCGTTCCTCTTCCTAGAAAAAGTAACAGACAGAAAACTGCACCTACTTGGATGCAGGATTTTGTGAGTAATTTGTCATACTCTTCTTCTATTCCTTTATCTGATACATTAAGATCTTCTTCATACACTCCAAATACCTATCCCTTCCATAAATCTGAAAATTTTAACCCAAGTTACTATCCTTTTCTGGCTAACATATCTACAATCTAAGAACCAAAATCCTATAAAGAGGCTAGCACAATGACTGAATGGATTCAAGCTATGGATAGTGAAATTGCAGCCTTGGAACAAAATGAGACCTGGGAAATTGTTCCCCTGCCTCTAGGAAAAAAACCCATTGGATCGAAATAGGTTTATAAAGCTAAGCTGAAGCCTGATGGAACTCTGGATAGATGTAAAGCTAGGTTAGTGTCGAAGTGGTATAATCAGGTGGCTGGAGTTGATTATGTGGACAACTTCTCCCCTGTAGCTAGATCAGTGACAATCAGATTGTTTTTTTCCATTTCATCTGCAAAAAATTGGCCTATATACCAGCTGGATATAAATAATGCTTTCCTGCACGGTTTTCTGGAAGAAGAGTTATATCTTTGGCCTCCAGAAGGTTACAAGAAGCTTAAGGAAGGTGAGATGTGTAAACTGAAAAGATCCCTTTATGGTTTAAAACAGGCTAGTCGACAATGGAATTCAGAATTTTGCAAGCATTTACAAGTATTTGGTTTTGCACAGTCTGTTCATGATAACTGCCTTTTCATTCTCCGTTCAGATCATGCTATTATAGTTCTTCTTGTCTATGTGGATGATGTTCTCATCACTAAAACGGATGACAATGAAATTTAGAAGGTTAAGCAATTTCTTGATACTACCTTCACCATCAAAGACTTAGGCCATGCTAAATACTTTCTGGGGATAGAGATAGCTCGTTGTACAGACGATTTGTACCTTATCCAAAGAAAATATGCCATGGATATTATTGCTGATGTTGGTCTGATGGGATTAAAACCTGTGGATATTCCACTGTCAAAGGGACATAAGTTCACTGCTGATGGTGTTTCATATCAACAACCTGATCAGTATCGTCGGCTTATAGGTAGATTACTTTACCTTAATCTTACCAGGCCAAACTTGTCTTATGCCGTCCAGCAGCTAAGTCAATTTGTTAATTCACCAACCGTTTCGCATTGGGAGTCTGCTTTGCACTTACTCAGGTACATCAAGGGGACTATGTCAAAAGGTCTTTTCTTCCCCTCCTCCAACAGTTTCAAGCTTGCAGCCTACTGTGATGCCGATTGGGCCTTTTGCCAGGACTCTAGGAAGTCTTTAACTGGTTATTGTATTTTTTTGGGTGGAGCTCTTATCTCCTGGAAATCAAAGAAGCAACAAATGGTTTCGCGAAACTCTGCGGAGGCTGAATATCGGAGCATGGCTGCCACTGTCTGTGAAATTCAATGGATTACGTATCTTCTTCAGGATTTTTACATTGAGCTTCATCTTCCGATTCCTCTCTCATGTGACAATCGGGCTGCCCTCCATATCAGTGCTAATCCTGTCTTCCACGAGCGCACGAAGCTTCTTGATATTGACTGTCATGTGGTTCGTAATCAGTACAAGGCCGGTCTCATCCTTCCACATCATGTTTCTTCCCATGCTCAGGTTGCAGATGTCTTCACGAAATCTCTTTCATTTCCGCAGTTGAAGTTCTTAGTTTCCAAGT